GCTTTACTCAATAATTACTCCTTTATTATAAATAATAGAAAAAAATGGTTCAGGACTTTTCGACTCAGTTTTATTCCTTCTATCTGCCTACGAGAGATTGTACGGCTATTCTGGGACACCCTGTATATATATATATATATATGTCTAAAGCGTGTACATATATAGTACTACATTTTATCTCAAAAGTTTATAGAACAAAATACACAATTGTGCGTCGCAAGCACTCCGTGTGTCAGCGTCAATTTGTCAATCACACGTTCGGTCTATAGTAATCATCATTTTGTCACAAGCGCGCCTAAATGAAAGGATTAATATTTACTGTAAAAGCATATTTATCTGTGTGACACAGAACGTATTTTATCTCTGACTGAAACACGTTTTGTTTCACAATTTATTTTCGGTTTTTGATCATCTACATATGGTCATATTTATATTATATTTGGTCAATGTCACCTGTGATAAATGCGCAACCGGTTTTCAAATTTACAATTTATATTTTAGAGATCGATCATTATTTGAACTTCTTTTTCCCATTAGCTGAAGATGGTAAATAAATAATAATAAAACCAAAAATGTTCTAAAAACAATAAATATCCATTAATTTTGCAACATCATTCCACGTTTCGTTTGTCATCATGATGTATACACACTTTCTGTCTCGGATTTATTGATACAAACCGATATTTCGAGAGAGAACCGATTATTTAATTAGTTCACAATTAAAGACGTACATTTTATCGAATATAAAAAACGCGAGAGAAAAAGACAGTTAAAGCGCGTTAAAATGCTCAAGTAAGAACAATCGATTGTCGCGATTTACACACAGAGTCGAAGAAATAGGCCAAGTCGAATTCAATTTAGCGAGCTGAGCGCTCGCAAATGAGAGAGAGAGAGAGAGAAAGAGAGAGTGTGTGTGTGTGTTCGTCACTTCATAAATCCGCTCGTGAAATTGCGCACGCGTATATGTACGTGGCGCGCGAAGTATATAACGGGCTATTAAGTCCCGATCTTGGAAAGACATTAATTTCACGGTCGCGCATAACTTTCCTGTCACAATTTGCATTCGGGCCCGGGCCTCCTTTCCTGGTAGCGCGCAGCGGGAAATTAAAAACGTCCGATCGTAAAGCCTCGAAAAAGAGGTGAAATATCACCGCCCTTGCATTCTGAATCGTAATCAGCCGTATTACTACTCGCCGGCGCGAGGGCTTTACGTCTCGTTCGACTTCGCGTAACGTGAAAAACAAGCTTCTTCTCGAAAAATTTTTCGCGAAAAAATCGCATCGCGATATTTGTTGATCAATGCTAATGTTTTTGAAAATAAAAAGAAACAACAAATCTTAAAATTGTTTTCTCAATCATTTTTTGCGCACTTCTCATTTTTGTTTGTCTAATTTTTGTTTTAATCTCGCGAGACTAATCGCGCGGATGACAATCACCGGGCGTCTTTATCTTCATTTATGCTTAATATCTCCGACGTTCGCAAAATCTCCCTCGTGTTATCGTTTCGCTGAAACAAAACCCACGAAGGATCGCTATTCAGCAAAAGCGCAAGGAATAAAGACTTAAGCGATCGTTTCGTCGTTCAGCGATCGCGCGAACGTGAAGGGGAAGCTTTCGGGGAAAGATTTCGAAGGAGGGTTGCTTGCTCGCGCTGTGTAATTTCTCCTTGGTGGAACGCGAGTCCGAGAGAAAACCGCCGAGAGAGGGTATATATCGCCACGAGCGAGCGAGCGAGCGAGCGAGTTGGGATATTTTTCGTCGAGAATCGCGAATAAAGGAGCGGGCTAACGAAAAAGCAACGGGATTGAGGCCGGGAAAGGTAAGGGAAGAGCGGCGATATAATGTACCGCGTAAGAGCCATTAGGTTATTAAAAACAGTGGTCGCTAGATGCGAATAATGAACGTGGCTGGTGGCCACGACGAGGGGCGCGACAAAGGCGGAAAATTAGTCCTGATAACTTCACGTTTGAATGCGGGAGGATGGGCACGGAGAAAGTAGAACGGGAAAACGAAGCATAATCTCGACTCCGTCTTCTGTGATGACGTTCTTCCTGTTTGCTCGTTCGTTCGTTCGTTCGTTCGTTCGCCGCGATGTTTCCCGTCGACTGTCTTTGCGAAGACGTTATGACGAAGACGTCTCGATTTCTTCAAGCGTGACGTTTACGCGATTTTCCGTAGAGACGAGTGATACCCTTCAGAATTAGTCTCAATAATAATCTTCAGTTTTTTTCTCTCGTGAAGAGCGAGGAAGAAACAAGAGGATGGGAAAAAATTGTATGTATTTAGAGAGAGAGAGAGAGAGAGAGATTTAATTATGTTAATTAATTTTATATTTAAACTTCCCTGTGTCACACATAAAATTATCGAATTCGCAAATTGAGTTTTCAAATTGCCGCGGGTTTGAATTTCAGAACGGAAATAAACGCGAGAGAATACAAATGAGAACGATACGTGGAGAGAGCGGAGACTGACACTACGACCGTTTTATCGGTTATAATATCGCGGCCTTTATTTTTCTCGCATTTACCTGGTGTTTTTTTGCGGCCGCGCGAGCGCTGGATTAGCAACTCGTTTTCGCACGTGCACTCATGCGCGCGTCATTGGCGATAACGTTCGCGAAAACGATCCTACGTCACGTTGCGCCGGTTGAATTCGTGCCCGTTGACGTCTCGCATAACAAATTTCGAGCGAGCACCGATTGTTTCGCATCGATTATCGATTTCAATAAAATCGCATATCTTCCACCGCTGTTCGCATTTTCCCATCGGATTTTTTTTTTGTTTTTTTTTGTTTTTTTGTTTTTTTATCGCTCACACTCGGCGAAGTGACGTTAAATTCTGGTTAGATCCGCAGTTGTATTTGCGGGCGCTCAATTAATCATTGAAACGGTTAGAATCTCCGCTCTCTTGCGCACATTCTAATTATTGCTCTCTTTTGACCTTATGCATATACAATTTGCGCAGTCGCAAATCGACTTAAATCCATAATACGCAAAGTTCCCGAAACTATCGCGCACGGCGCTAAATCGCCGCTTCGCGAATGCGGGGCAGGATTAAAACGCACCTGTGTAATATAACACGCACGCGCGCGCGCGCGCAGCGTCTCTTTTACAATCTTATACAAGAACTAGAAGTTTTGTTATGGAGAACACCCGGAATTGTGTGTTTACCTTTATTTTCGGCACACGGAAAACGAGAACTTCTTGCATATGAAGGAAATTTTGTTACGAGGCTCGCAGCCCTC